GTGCTGGGATTAAAGGGGTGTGCCACCAACCCCCGGCTCTCTTGACTTTCTTGGAGAACTCTGAGGCAAACTCAAGCTTACTATGATCTCTGAGTCACACAAAAACATCTATAATTTATGACTGTGTCAAAAACACTGCTTAGAAAGAATAGATGGATGGATACAGGCAGAAGAAAAGCTGAGCACCTTAGGTGAGTGCTGAGGAAAAGCTCTGTGTTATTACATCTTCCACCCTGGCATCAGAGTAAATGCTGGTGAAATTTCCCAGATGGATGTGCCGTCATCAGGTTTAAAGCCACAGTGTACAAACAGACATCCCTGTGACAAGTGTCTAAGGTAGAATCGTTGTACTCGAGGGAGTGACCTCCATGGAGTGTGACAAAGCCACAGGACCTGGCTCACGGTGACGGGAAGAGGCTCCTGTCTCCTTCCCGAGGTACAGAGCACTTTATCAGCTGTGTCCTATGGGCATGAAGTTGGCACCTGGGAATATAGGAAGCTGGGGAGAGGTGTCATTACCTGACAGCTCGGATGGCAGCCTTTAGAGTGGGGATCATGTCTTCTATGAGGAAGTCATTCCCATAGCCCCTGTCTTCTGCCATGGGATCGCCTGTCCCAGCATCTGGGAGGGAGACACGTATGTTAATTTAGTCCATCATGAATGGAAAATATCAGAGAGCACTGTGGAGTCAGAATCTCCAGCATGAGGATTAGTGACCCTGCATCTTTATCCCCACATGTGGATGGGCCCCAGTTGTGACACCTTTATCTTTCCTAGCATCCCGGCCATGTGGTACCCAAGTTTGAATCTGGGGCATGAGTAGATCAGAACTGGAGTGGAGGAGAATTCTAGCAGGTGATTCTAGTGAGCTCAGCAGCTGTGGATTATCACATGAGCAGCAGAGAACACAGGTGTGGTCCTTGGACTCAGACACACCGGTGTTGGGATTCTTGCCCCGTCAGTATCACTGCTTGTGACCTTGGGAGGTCACCTGAACTTTTTACATTTTGGCCGTTTTGGAGAGGAAGGAACAGTACGATGAGTGGCAAGGCCTTGGTGGCTTCAGACACCAAGGACAGTAGTTTCCTCATTGTCTACCCTTCTGCTAAGTGACAGAGTGGCTTGAGGCCACTGTTCCCATGGTACTTAACACACAGTGTATTTTTCTGACCTCTCTCCTCCATCCCTGGGGGTGCATCTTTCCAGATGGCCCTGGACCTGTACCTGCCTCTCTGCATCCTTCTAGTTACCCTCATCATGACTTCTCTTTCCAGCCACAGGGCAGGTCCTAAGAAGTCTCCTTGAGCTGAAAGGTTTGAGCTAGGTGATTCAAGCCTAGCTCACTGGGAAGCTTCTTCATTTCTGAGTCACGGAGCACAAGTAAAGCGCTGCATGGAGTTGGCTGTAGGCGGGATGGGAGAGACTGCTTTGTGGGTGCAGGGAGGTCTTCAGTGGAGAGGAGGAAAGGGAGAAAGGGGCAGGAGAAGAAGCAGAAGAAGCCGGGAAAGAAGAAGGGCATTACCTTCAGAACTCTGCCAGAAAGCGTAGGCTTTCATGCGGAAGGCGGTGCGGAAACGCTCTTTATTGTTTAAGCCCACGGGCTTTGGTTCTTTAGAAGGGCTTTCTTCTATGGCATCTACATTCAGAGGGGTAAATGACTTTCCTTTAGTATTGCTACCACGAGGATTAGAAAGGCGAACCCGATCCAAGAGACCCAGCTTTTGGCTACAAAATAAGCAAAAGTGAACAATTTTCCTCCTTCAGTGCAGGTTCTTGTAACTTCCCACCCCTCCAGAAAGACTCACATTCTCTCCCGAGGATGCACGGGAAATGTGCGCCTCGGGAGCTAACCTGATGCCGCCGCAGACAGGACGGGGGCCAGGGGGTGGATTGAGTCCTAGTCTAGCTCACAGTTTTTACTCCTGATTACATCCTGAGCAAATTTCCAATGTCCCCCGAATTTCTGTCTGTGCCTATATGGTACCCAAACCAGGGGCAAGATATACAGTACTATCCTTTACCAAAGAAGTTTCAAGGACCCGCAGTCAATCACTAAAAACTGTAGTTATGGGGGGGG